TCCGACTCCATCTATTACTTCCCATCTGTAGATCTATTAGTGCATTTTCTGTTGCTTATAAGATAATACCTGTAAATGATATTCTGTTATAAGTATTTATAAGAAATTAAAATTTATATCTCACAGTTTCAGAGGCTGGGACATCCATGGTCCAGGTGGTGCATTTGGTGAGGCCCTTCTTCTGCGTGGGAAATCTCTCTATGGGATCCCATGGTGAGACAGGGTATCACATGGCTAGGATCAGAAGAGCTCTCTTATTTGATCTCCTTATAAAACTACCAGCACACATTCATGATAACTCATTGCTCCATGAATGGATTAATCCATTAATGAGTTATCATTAATGTGTACTGGTGGTTTTATAAGGTTTTATAAGGATTAATCCATTCATGAGAGCATAGTCCTCACAATCCAAACATCTCTTAAAGGCCCCACCTTTTTTTTTTTTTTCCTTTTTATCTTTTTTACTGACCGGTAACAGGATCGCAACCCTCGGNGGGAGTGCCGCTGCGCTCCCAAGCAGCGCACTCTCCAGTGCGCCACCGGGCCGGCCCAAAGGCCCCACCTTTCAAACACCATAATTGTATTTCCCAGTCTCTTAACACTGTTACAATGGGGAACAAGTTTCCAACATATGAATTTTGGGAAGACTCTTTCAACCCACAGCACTGGGCCTCTAGCCCTCAAACATTATGTCTTTTTCATGTGTAAATACATTCATTCCGTCCCCCAATGCCTAGACTTGTTTCACCTCAAAAGTCCAAAGTCTCATCTGTGAAATCAGCCAGTTACCTACTTCCAAGATACAATGGTGTAACAAGCATAGTGTACATATTCCCATTCAAAAAAAGAGAAATAGGCCAAAAGAAAGGGATTACATGTCTTAAAAATGCCCAAAACCCAGGAGGGTATGCATTAAATCTTAAAGCTGGAGAATAATGTCTTTCGATTCCATGTCCAGCATCTTCTGCACACTGTTGTGTGTGTGGGGGGCCCCTCCAAGTCCTTGGAAAATCCCACTCCTATGGCTTTCCTGGGCTCAGTCCATGCTTCAGCTCTTCAAGGCTGGTATTGCACGCTGGTAGCTCTACAGTTCTGGTGTCTCAGAGGCAGTCATGTTCTCATGGCTCCACTAGGCATGGCTTTGGTGGGAGTTCTCTGCCATAACTCCAACCCCACATTTCTGCTCACCATTGCTCTAGTGGAGGCTCTCTATTGTGACTCTGTCCCTGTGGCTGATCTCTTGGTGGGATCTCAGGCTTTTCCATACATCCTTTGAAACTGGTGTGGAGGCTGCCATACCTCCACAGCTCTTGCATTTGGAAAGCCTGCAAATTTAATATCGCATGGACACCAACAACGTTTCCAGTTTGTATCTTCCAAAGCAGCAGGTCAGCAGCACCTGGGGGCAATTTAGCTAGGCTGGTGCAGCTGGAGCATCCACGGTACAGGAAGTTGTATCCTGAGGTGGGCCTGGGC